TAGGAGCAAGGACGCTACTAGGGGCTCCTGGCCTTACTACTAGGAGCAAGCAGCAACTAGGGCTCCTGCATCGCTGCTAGGAGCAAGAAGCTACTAGGGGCTCCTGGCATCGCTACTTCGAGCAAGAAGCTACTAGGGGCTCCTGGCATCGCTACTAGGAGCAAGGACGCTAAAAGTGGGGCTCCTGGCCTTACTACTAGGAGCAAGGAAGCTACTAGGGGCTCCTGGCCTTACTACTAGAAGCAAGGACGCTACTAGGGGCTCCTGGCCTTCCTACTAGGAGCAAGAAGCTACTAGGGCTCCTGGCATCGCTATAGGAGAAAGAAGCTACACGGGCTCCTGGCATCTAGGGGCTCCTGGCCTTACTACTAGGAGCAAGGACGCTACTAGGGGCTCCTGCCCTTAGTACTAGGAGCAAGGAAGCTACTAGGGGCTCCTGGCCTTACTACTAGGAGCAAGGACGCTACTAGGACCTCCTGGCCTTAGCACTAGGAGCAAGGACGCTACTAGCGGCTCCTGGCCTTCCTACTAGGAGCAAGGACGCTACTGGGGGCTCCTGGCCTTGCTACTAGGAGCAAGGATGCTACTAGGGGCTCCTGGCCTTACTACTAGGAGCAAGGACGCTACTAAGGACTCCTGGCCTTCCTACTAAGAGCAAGGACCCTGGCCTTACTACAAGGAGCAAGGACGCTACTAGGGGCTCCTGGCCTTACTACTAGGAGCAAGCAGCTACTAGGGGCTCCTGCATCGCTGCTAGGAGCAAAAAGCTACTAGGGGCTTCTGGCCTTCCTACTAGGAGCAAGAAGCTACTAGGGGCTCCTGGCATCGCTACTACGACAAAGAAGCTACACGGGCTCCTGGCATCTAGGGGCTCCTGGCCTTACTACTAGGAGCAAGGACGCTACTAGGGGCTCCTGCCCTTAGTACTAGGAGCAAGGAAGCTACTAGGGGCTCCTGGCCTTACTACTAGGAGCAAGGACGCTACAGGAACTCCTGCTAGGAGGAAGGACGCTGCTAGGGGCTCCTGGCCTTCCTACTAGGAGCAAGGACGCTACTGGGGGCACCTGGCCTTGCTACTAGGAGCAAGGATGCTACTAGGGGCTCCTGGCCTTACTACTAGGAGCAAGGACGCTACTAAGGACTCCTGGCCTTCCTACTAGGAGCAAGGACGCTACTAGGAGCTCCTGGCCTTACTACTAGGAGCAAGGACGCTACTAGGGGCTCCTGGCCTTACTACTAGGAGCAAGGATGGGTTTGGTGTACTGGTTCCTGGCGATCTTTGGTGCTCCTCGGATCCTGGGTCCTTCCGGCTTTCAGGTGTGGATCCTGCAGCCCTTTGGCAGCACCAGTGCCGCGCACTCGCTGGGAACGGCCGTGGGATGAAAAGCACACAACAGATAGACTATGATAGACTGATAGACAGCCAGGAGCTACTAGTAGCTTCTTGCTCCGTTCGTAGCGATGCCCTTTGTTACTAGTAGCTTCTTGTTACCAGCACAGCGAGGAGCTACTCGTCACTCGAAAAGGACATAGAAGCTGAGCCTATGGACATGTTTGTTTTGGGAGTGCAGACGGTGTAGACACATTACTTTGAAGAAAACACTCTTGTATTTTCTTAGTTTTGATGTTTGCACAACCGTACAGCCAATGTTCATAATTTGCAATATAGCGGAGTAACGAGTATTCAGTATTCGACTCATCACGAAAGCTAGCACCAGCTAGCTGGAGTTGTTCTTGCTTTAGCAAGTGAGGGGCTGGAATCCTCGAGATCGCCACGTCACATGAAAACTTCATATGTAGAGGGGCCCCACCCAGCCCCCGCGGGTTTAACTCCCCCCTGGGACGCTTCTGGGCATGACACCTCTTGGACACCTCTTATGGCATCCACTTTGGTTGAACTCCTCCTTGGAGGTTTTGGGACGCGATGCAACAGATTCAACAGATTCACAAGCTAAGGTTGGCTGTGTCATTGCTGTTCGTGTGTCTTACATGTTCACAACGTTTTACCTCATGAGCGAGACCTTGTGAACCATCCCTCCAACAGCCCCATGCCTATGAAAAAAGATTTGCCTCACTCCGCTTGATGTCCCACCAGTCCTTTGTCACCGGACGGCGCTGTATGCTTCGCCTCCACTGACACGGATGCATCCCTGCCAGCTTTCGTCACCTACCCTTGGTTCAAGTGTGAGAGGTGGGGCCGTGGCTGGGGCTTGGATCATGCTCGGTTTTTGTCGCGCCCAATTCTCCCATGTGTATGCAACCAGGTGCCTATTACGCTTTCTGTTGCTTTCTCATGCTCCTCAGCTGCAGGATGGAAGGAGCTACACTTGGGAGCAGTTGAGAGCCTTTTATGTGCCTTGGTATGGCTTGGTCATTGAATTGCGCTGCTTTGCTGCCCAAAGTGGGCTCGGGCTGGAATGGCGTTGTATGCATTGTGATGATCTGGAAACGATGTTTGCGCCGTAGGCACTTAGAGCCAGTGAAGGCAACCGCCAGTATCTAAGGCGCCCACATACACCAAGAAGCAAACAGAGGCGCAGGGGGTCAAGTGACTTGTGTTTCAATGTTAGTGGCCAGTTTTCCTGAATGCGTAGCGAAGGGTTCTCGTTTAACTCTGGGGGTCTGGGGGTAGAGCCTTGTTCGCGACGCTTGGTCTCAGCGTTTGCAACCGTCCGCAATCGTTCGCAACCGTCCGCAACCGTTCGCAACCGTTCGCCGCCGTTCGCAGTAGGGCCGTGAGGCCCTGCCATTGGGGGAAGCTTTGGAGGGTTTCGGATGGAAACGTGACGCATCAGATTCGTGTGAAATAGCGTGGAGGCGTGTGGAAATATAAGATGTTGAAGTGTGGAGGGTGATTTCACTGCGCAGGCACAGCGTTTTGTGAGATCCGTTTGCGTTTCAGAGTGTTGCGTCGAAGCTCTGTTTTCGTGACAAGTCTCCGCTGAAATCGCGATTTTGGTGGATCTCAGAACGGGCCGAAACCATTCCAAACGTGTGGTGTGGTGCACATTTTGTTGAAGCTCACATGATAAGGGAATCGTGAGGTTGTGAGTTGTGGTAGAGGTGAATGTCGCTGTGACATAGGGATTGGCGTGTGAGTGGGTGTTGTTTGGAGGAGCTGGAATCGCGAAACTGCTTGGCAGGGCTGCTTGAGCTCCGATGGGTGCTTCCGCTTGACGGAGGAAGTCTCGTACGAAACGCTCGTTTGGCAGACTTTGACATGTGAGTTCTTGAGGAAGTCTCCTACGAAACGCTCGTTTTGGAGACTTGACGTGTGACTTTTGGAGGAAGTCTCGTACGAAACGCTCATTTTGCAGACTCGAAGCACGACTCGAAGCCTCGCCTGTGCCGGCGTGGCGCTGGTGAGCAGGATGATTGGTGGTATCGTGTGATATGTTTGCTTCTAGCGGACCGTGTGACGAAATTACGTTCGTGATGTCGCAGTGTGCCATGCGGATTTGCGCGGCCTTGGTGGAAAGTGCGTTTGCGCGGCGCCGTGCCACTGGTGAGCGGGATGATTGGTGGTATCATGTGATATGTTTGCTTCTAGTGTGTGGGCAGACCGTGTGGCGAAATTACGGTCGTGATGTTGCAGTGCCATTGCGACTAGCGCGGCCTTGGTGGGAAGTGTGTGTTGCGTGGCGCCGCGCCACTGGGAGCACGAAACATGCTGGTGTAAACGCGGCGATTCGCTGGTGAGCGGGATGATTGGTGGTATCAAGAGTGTCCCAAAAGAGTGCCCCCCGCAAGAGCTTCCTACAAGAGTGACACACAAGAGCGTCCTACAAGAGTGTCCCACAAGAGTGTCCTACAAGAGTGTCCCACAAGAGTGTCCCACAAGAGTGTCCTACAAGAGTGTCTCACAAGAGTGTCCCAGATAGAGTGTCCCACAAGAGCGTCCCACAAGAGTGTCCCGACAAGAGTGTCCCGCAACAGTGTCCCAGAAGAGTGACCCACACGAGTGTCCTATAAGAGTTTCCCACAAGAGTGTCCCGTAAGAGTGACGCGCAAGAGTGTCCTACAAGAGTGTCTCGTAAGAGTGTCCCGCAAGAGTTTCCTACACGAGTAACCCACAAGAGTATCCTACAAGAGTGTCCCGCAAGAGTGTCCCATAAGAGTGTCCACAAGAGTGTCCCGCCAGAGTGTCCTACAAGAGTGTCCCAAAAGAGTGTCTCGTAAGAGTGTCCCGCAAGAGTGTCCCACAAGAGTGTCCTACAAGAGTGTTCCACAAGAGTGTCCCACAAGAGTGACCCACAAGAGTGTGCTACAAGAGTGTCCCACAAGAGTGTCTCGTAAGAGTGTCCCGCAAGGGTTTCCTACACGAGTGTCCCACAAGAGTGTCCACAAGAGTGTCCCACAAGAGTGTCCTATGAGAGTGTCCTACAAGAGTGTCCCACAAGAGTGTCCCACAAGAGTTTCCTACAAGAGTGTCCCACAAGAGTGTCCCGCAAGAGTGTCCCAGAAGAGTGTCCCACAAGAATGTCCCGTAAGAGTGTCCTACAAGAGTTACCCACAAGAGTGTCCCACAAGAGTGTCCTACAAGAGTGTCATTTGGACACATGTAGGTTTGCATTCGGGTTCGTGGGTTCCACCTTGCTTTCTGCTAAGGCGTGTTTTTTTGAGATCTACATATAAGTCAGCCCATCAACCGACGCTTCCCATGGGTATTGATGAACTGGGATGTGTTCAACATGTGCCGCTTCGATTCGAGGTTTGCTCATGTCGAGAGAAAGTCAGCTTGAGAGTTTGCAAGGATACATTGGATGTGTTGCCACAGCCAGGCTTATTGGGATGCGTTGCGCCCCACTGGTTGGACGCAAGGCAAGGGAAAGGCCGCCCTAGCAATGCTGGAGGGCTCAGGTCATGTTGGCAAAGGCGAGTGTGGTTCCGGACTCGAGCGCCATCAGTCTCCAATTGCTCAACTCCAGATATGTAGCAGACATCACTGGAGATCATCATGGCTGAGGCTTGCAAAAGGTAAAGGCAAGGCAATGGGCTGAGCACTGGGAAACCAGCTGCAATTCGACCTGCCATTCACGCGTTGAGTTATGTTGGTTTTTGTGCAGCTATTGTACTACTGCTCCGTTTGATTGCACCAGGTATCATCATATGGTATCATCCTGTTGACATGTATGTTATGTTGGTGCTTTATTTTTAAATTTCTGAACAGGTCTTGGTCCACTGGTAAGGCCAAGGAATCACTGCCGCCTGGCCTCTGTAGTTCGGCAGCAGGGAAGAAAGCTGAGAGATCACGGCTCAAACGTGCCTGGTTTCGGCCAAATCCTACATTCAATTTTGCTGCTTGAATTCAGTTGCCAAGAGTGCGGATTGGGATACCAAGACAAATTCCTGTTGCTTTAACTTATATAAGACGTAGGTTCGTGGATGCACTTTTGGACCCAACCCACACTTGTGCTACTTGTGGCAGACCCGCAGCACCAACCAGCGATGAATGCGGAAAAGAAAGCCATCCGAGTGAACACCGGCCAGAGAATCAAGGAAATTTGAAGAGGTCGGTCATTAGCGGCTTTGTGTTTGCTGGTGGCATGCGCACGTTTGCGTGTGTTCTTTGCCATGACTGAATGACACGATACCTTTCTCCTGCAGGGACTACACCACTGCTGGCTGCGCATAAGAAAAGAGATGCCACCTTGAGCCTTGAGCAGATTGAGTTTATCGTTTTCCCAACCCACCAGTTTTCTATTCCCTTTGCCTGCGTTGCCCACAGCTTTTGGGCAAACCTTCGAGAATCAGCGCGACTTGCTTGCTTTGGCAGAGGTCTTTAGCTGAAAAAAAAAGCTGTGCGAAGCCCCACCTCCCGGTTCCACAAACGCCTGGGACACACCACATGACAGTTCCGCAGTCGACTGTTTGATGACTCTCCTGGCTCAAGAGTGAATTCGGAGCATGGGTACATTTCCAGGAGCGGCCCTGTTTGCGGGACAGTCAAGCATCCTACATCAAAAGAACACAATGAAAGAACTATCAACTCTGAGAGGAGTTTCAACCATGCTTCATCACGCCTCTAACTCAAATGCCGTCTAGATTCCCATTCATTGTATATACAAGCACTTGTTGTGTGACAGTTTAAGATCGTCCTCACCCCAAGTGCAACTTGTAACTGCTAGATTGCTAGATTAATCATTGTTGGTGCTTTGTACCGATAAAGATTCTCTAAAAAGGTATGTGGGGGGGGGTAGCTAGAGGCTTGTTCAGCTATTGTGACCAGAGGCCACTTATGCCAGAAATTAAGCTCCCCAGCCTGGTGGGGTCCTAGCAGACATATCCAAGATGCTGCGCTAGGACAATGCGGACCCGTGGCTTGCTGGTGGTGGCATTTTTGCCAGGCTCGTCTTTGTTTCTGAAACATTCCGAGTCAGACTCTGGGCAGCTACCCTTCCGGAGGAGTCTTCGCGGATGCGACAACGGGCACATCGACCTCTTCTAAGGTCTCTCGTCGACTGTCGGATGCGTCCTCTTCACGACTCCGTCACCTCTGTACCAGCTGTAGAACCTCGTGTGATTCCATGTGTATACATGCTTGAACTTGCTTGAATATGTACACCGCCGCGTGCCACATGATGCCACGATATTATTGACACCATGGCGCGTGAGAATCAGCACATGTTCAGAAGCATCAACGCCCAGGTGATTTGGGCCAGGCTGTACGGGTCAGGAAGCCAGGGATCTAGAGAAGTTCAATTACTCCCCTGCAGAGGTCCATGGAACCCCAAAACCACTGGCGTTGTAGAGCAGGGTCTTCCACCGGTCAATTCTCAGTATCAATGTGTTTTTCTTGTACAGATGAACTGATCAAAGGATGGAACAGTCGAGTCATATGAAAAAGAATCCATGCACCTAAACCATTTCGAGGTACGGCCCCAGCGGTTGCCAGTTGTCAAGCAGATGTTTGCTTTCCATGCAGGAAAACGGGCGTCCAAAATGACATAAACATCCAAGCCTTATGGCTTAAGCCACTCACCTCCGCAGAGTGGCTTCGTTGGCGATCCCACGGTGAACGTATAGAAGGGTGGATCGATGTGCGCTTGCAGATGGACCAATGGTCCAGGTGAAATATATACTGAGACAGCAGATGATACAGTCAATGATTTGCCAAAAAATGGCTGATGTTCCCTGGCACTTCGTGTCATTAATTTGTTGCTAGACAATGACAGACAATACACAGCCGCTGAATCTCGCGATGTCCACTGCTGTGCCGATGGGAGCAGACTGAACCTGCACGAGGAGGAGGGACATGACTGGATGAACATAAAAGGAGATCACAAATGTAGACACCGTGTGTTCCTCAAAATTGTAGACTGTGAGATTCATTTCAATGGCCGTTTGGATGTCTTTCGCATGAAGATTTTCCGTATGGACTGGCACGGTTGTATCAATCCTGGTTTCTGAAACGGGTCAAGGATCAACATAAGAATTCCTCAAGGTGCAGCGTGGACTGCAAGTGTTATCATGGATCTTGGTTGTGGTAAAACCTTCGCCTCGCCAAAGCTATGGGGTGTGCCTGGCACCGGTTTGTGACACGTGCTAGGAGCCCTTCAAAGTCTAATATTCCATACAAATCCACACATATGCACATACAGCGTGTGTTGACTTTTCAGTGTGTAATATATAACATTATATATATAATATCATTGTATTGTTTTTGACAACCTCCTAAATTCATAGAGTTTCGACTGTGGTGGGATGATGTTGTTTAAAGAATAATGGCAGTGTCAGAACATGTCAGATGTAGGGTGGTCTAGCTTTACAGTATGATCACCACGCGTGGCGCTTATTCATAGCCACACAGGTCTGTGAAAGAAGTGTCGTTCACCGAGGAGCCTCTTTGGTCCAAGTTTGGCAGTCGCCTTGGCATATTGACAGTTGGAGTTGTTTGTGTTGCAACTTTGTGCACTTGGCCATTTTCTTGCACAAAAGCAAGACCAAAATTGCTGCGCTCCTACACTACCAAACTCATGCAGGCAGACAACACTTGAAAAGGGTCAACATGTGCTTGTCCCAGGCAACGGCACAAATTGCATCCACCAACAGATTCAGCATTTGTAGGTCGTGGATGGTCCTGGATATAGTAGTTCTTTTGAATGTGCTTGAAGCTTCGCCGCGGCAAGATCAGGGCCAGAGTCGGGGCCAGTGGTTCTCTTGTTCCTAGATTTCCATAGATTTCCCATATCAAACGCTTTGGTGCAACGCCTGCCGCAGACCCCCGCGGCTCGAGTTTGTCCTGAACCAGAACAGGACGACTGTGAGACTCGCGATGAAACCAGCTTTGGTGGAGGAGGAGGAGGAAGATGTGCCCGATGCGGGCAGCATGAAATCATTCAGTGCAGGGAGCAAGAGCTTGCGCAATCACACCCAGCAGAGTCAAGCCAGCCATGCTACCATAGGTAGCCGAAAGGCCTGTGATGCAATCCAGGGTGTGGCTCCTGGTGTTGAAGAAGAAATGGTCGAAGTTGTTCTTCAATTTGGCTCGGAGGGAGAGAATGGCGAGGTGGCGAGGGAGAAATCCATGCACCTCCCCATGAGATGTAATTATTTTGAAGCTGCTGAAAGACTTCCGACCATGGCAGCTCGCCAGACTCATGCCACCCAATCAAGTTGGGGTGGTGATGATGATGATGATGGAGAGAAACGCCTAGAAAACCCTAAGTGTCTGACAGATGAAGGACAGATTCGGAGCAACAACAAGAACCCAACTCATTCCAGCTATGCCAGCATCCCCATTGGGCAATCCATGGAACAAGATGACCTGGAAGCATGGGACGACAATTGGGGGGGTGCCTTCGAAACCGCCCACTGAGCGGAAGCATCCCATTGAAGCCGCCCTGTCCAGGGAAGCCACCAAGTCAGAGAAGACTCCTTTGGCCGTTTCCCGTGGGATTTGGTCGCGGAATCGGCGGAAGTGCTGCTGCTGCTTCAGTCTGTCCTTCGGAACCTGAGACCTTGAATAAGGGCCCCATCATGAGCCCCCTTGAAAACAAACAAGACCAATCAAGGCTGCAAGCGAGAAGGGCCCAGGGGTTCAATCGCGGGATTGCTTTGGAATGTTTTGGGTTCCATCCAAAACATGGGAGCTACAAAGCAAGCCACTTGATAGAGTGGGACGATGCGGCAGTTGTTTGTGTGGAACGCCCCGCTCCACCATTTCAACCCTCACCCCATCCAAAACCAAGAACGTGCGTGGTCTTGGAAGCTGAGGAGTTTTGGCCGTGGCCACCGGCATCTTCTTGGGCCTTTTTTGGCCAAGAGATCCGACATGGAAGGTCACGAAGCTTCAAGTCGATGCAGGGGAGCTGGGCACACTGGTCACCGCCGTCTCGGGTGGCTCCGCAGAGCTGGTCACTTGGCGTTTTTTGCAGTCAGTCCCGCACTGAAAGTGGCAAACTGGAGTGCAGAAGTAGCTATACATGTAATCAATAATGTATGATAGTGACAGTGGATGTATCATGCTTACATATATAAGTGACATGATAAACTAACAGGACATACTCTAGCAGCTTTGACATCCCAACCTTTTGTATCAAGATATGAGGATGTATATATCTAATGAACAGCGAGTCACGCTGGAGCGGACGAGCGGAAGCCTGGAAGTGACCAGGTTGTTGGTGGAAAGGCTCCCTTTTCAACAGCTCTCAGCTGCCTGCCTCTGTTCGGGCCATCTTGACACACCTGTTCGATCACCATGGCCCAAGCTGTTCCAACCTGTTGGATCAACCAGTTGCAGAAGAAATTCTTGGACATGTGGACCCATCTTCTCCTTTTTTTGTGAGTCAAGGTTCAGTTTAAGTAGCTGCAAGCTTATCCATGTAGAACTATGTCTTCCCCACCTTGGGACTTTCAGCTCCACAGCACCGGGTTCTGCCAGGCACCCAAGAAGCTCATGTTCAAAGCGGAGGTTGAGGTGCAGAATCCTAACCTTTTGGGCGGTGACTGCGAAGAAGGGCAAGTTCAATTCACCTATCAAGGCGGTCAAATGGGTGTGGGGAAGCTGGATCCGGCTAGCGTGCCGGCACAGTCTTCAGTGGATCTCAATGCAGAGTTGACTTTAGACATCTCCTCTGAGTTTGCCACTTGGCTGAAGGCTGAAGAACCTTGGTGTCCACTTTCCGTTGCTTGTGTGTTTTTTTTTAGGCAGATGGATTCGGATGTGCCGTTGTTTGTTCGCACAAATCCTCTCAACCGGATGCAGCTAGATATTGTGCGACGCCTCAGGAGTCCGAGTTGCCCAACACAGCAGGGGAATTCCAAGGGCTTTTAGGCACCGCCTCAAGAAACAATCGCTTCATACTTTGACAATGGGTTTTCAGTTAACTCAGTTCCCACGAGAAAGTGGTGAGTAAACGGAAAGGCGAGAAAGTCAGTTCACTTGAAATGTTGAAAACTCTGTTGGTGCACATCTGCGGTAAGTCAGGCGGCTCACGAGCGGCAGAACGCTGCGGAGGTAAACCTCTTTAGGGAAATAGCGTGAAGAACCACCATGAAAACAAGGAACAGCGGGGAACAGTAGAGTGTTGTCACTCGCAGGTACACAGGGCTGATCAGGCCCTGCTTCCCACTCTCGCCCACAGCTTCGTTGCGTGTGGTAGGGCGAGAGTGCCACACGCTCCTGCAAATTTGAAAGGGTTTAACCTCCTAGAAACGGAGGGTGGCACGCACACACAGAAGGCCGCTTTGCGGCGCTCTCGCGCAGAACCTGAATAGGCACCTAAAAAGCCTTAGGAAAGAAAAAGAAAAACAGAAAGAGCAAAGCGAAAAGCGGAAAAAGTGATTACTTAGCACTTGACTGGGGCAGGGAAACGAGCCGCAAGAACCACCTAACAAGCCTGAAAGAAAACCTAGAAAACAAAGAAAGCGCAAGAGAGAAAGCGGGGGGCAGGGAGGGGTTGTATGTCCATGTGTGTGTGTGTCTGAATACTTAGCACTCTAGAGTTACCGATTACTTAGCGGATCCTAATTTGGTGCAATAGTTAGGGAGCGGACTTGAGTCTAAAACCGTCCGGGTAGAGTAGACTAGAACAGGGACAACAGAGGGAAAGGCACTGACACACAAGTGTGTCGAGTACCAATTCCCTTTGTTACCCTAATTAGGTGCGATTAGATGGGTGGTAGAGGGAACCGCGAAAGCTCTGAAAAGGCTCCGTAAGCCCGGCGGCGTCAAGTAAACTCGGCAGTTTTGCGGCAGTAGGTTCATGGGATGAAACACTTGTTCAAGAAGAGACTCCAACGCGTGCAGAAAAACGCGAAGTCAAACGTGATCCACGGTGGTTTCAGCGCCTCTTTGCGGGAGATCAAACCCTGCACCCAAGTGGGCTGGCAGAGCGGCACACACTTTGACAATGGGTTTTCAGTTAACTCAGTTCCCACGAGAAAATGGTGAGGGAACGGAAAGGCGAGAAAGTCAGTTCACTTGAAATGTTGAAAACTCTGTTGGTGCACATCTGCGGTAAGTCAGGCGGCTCACGAGCGGCAGAACGCTGCGGAGGGAAACCTGTTAGGGAAATAGCGTGAAGAACCACCATGAAAACAAGGAACAGCGGGGAACAGTAGAGTGTTGTCACTCGCAGATACACAGGGCTGATCAGGCCCTGCTTCCCACTCTCGCCCACAGCTTCGTTGCGTGTGGTAGGGCGAGAGTGCCACACGCTGCTGCAAATTTGAAAGGGTTTAACCTCCTAGAAACGGAGGGTGGCACACACACACACACAGCTGCGCCATTTGCCACACCCTTGAAGATCGTTGAACAATGCGATTCTCCAAAAAGAGCAGGTTCCGACCATTCCAACCAGTGTTCGAGCACCATGACTGCGGAGCCATCAGTTTTTTTTCAAAACTCGTCTCGTTCTCGTCTCGTGTTGGGGCCCAGGTGAAGAGCTTTCAATCGGAGCTTGAAGCCGATCGTTCCTTCCTGACCTTCAAAGCATATGCGCAGTCAAATGTGGCCAGCAGTCTTGGTATCCAGGTCCATTTGCGGGTGGCTTGTGACATCGATGTGTCCCTTTCCTTCCTGATGATGAGGGAGACCCAACACAGGGCAGTCACCGGGAGGGGATGTCGATACACCTTCTTTTAGCCTTTGGCCGCCACGTTTTCGGAGCTGACACTGCCCCCCAGGCAGGGTTCGGACTGACTGCTGCAAAACAAATTAACAGGCCACGGTCAGACAGATCTCCCATGATTCGATTTGAGCCTGGCTAGTAGCTTTGCAGCCTGAAAGCGTGGTTCTGAAGGGCCGCTGTGCACTGCCAGCTAAGCTGTCCTGGTGCCAGCGATGCACGTCTCAATGTGTCTCCATCAGTGAGTGTTATCACCACCAACATGCGGGGTGTTAACGCCCATTTTCTCCAGGCTACGAATGCCTGGTAGATATATATATATATATCAAGAAGATAGGAACAATCGCGATTGGTGATCAATGTTGATCTTGCTTTGCACAACTCGTTGGTCAATGGTTTTTTTGCCTCAACTCCAGCTGCTTTGACACTCGAAGTTTGGCTCTTTTGCCGCGCCCGGCTGAAACCCCTCAGCCATGGCATTTCGTTTGCTGCTCTTAGGTTGCATTTTCCTGGCACAAGCGGAGGAGGGAGACGAGGCACGAAGGAATAAGAGCATATAAGAGCAAGGTCTGTATGTGGGTTTTAAGAATCTGATATGTTGTAAGTTGTTTTTTTTGGCCTATTAGGCAATGTTTTCGCCATGTCCTGTCAAGAGAGGCTCCACCTAGCTGCCATTTGCTGCAAACTCATGTGGCCCTCAGCAGAACACAGCGCAGCAATGAAACACTGAGCAGCAGCAATGAAACACTGGCGGGCGTTTGCGTTCCCAAAGCTGACCTCACGGAGAAGGACGGTTTACTGTTTGTTCTTTAAAGTTGCAAGTCTTTGGGAAGTATGTTGGACTTTGGAATCTCGAGAGAACCGATTTCACGCTTGCTGGTTTCAGAAGTGTTGAGTGCTTCAAGACAACATAAGACAACTGATACAGTAACTGATCACGGTGAAGCCAGTGAAGTTTTGTCGTGCGCGCACCATTCCATTCCCGGAAGTTGCTTTCTTTCTCAGATGATTTTGCACAACATTCGCTACTATGCACGTTTCCATCACACACACATATCTTTATAAATATATATATATATGCTACACCCCATATATATTATATAGTGTGTGTGTGTTCTCACATGCAAAAAAGATGTTAACCTCTGAGATTATCAAGGATAGATCTGATCCAATCATGGACGTGTCAGCTCGATATGACCAAGATGGCTGGTGCGTGTTTGGTTCGGAGGGGAATTGGGCGAGAGATTGCGCAGTTGCCCGCCGCACGCGCAATGTCAACAACTTTGCTTTGGCGTTTCTCACTTGCAAGTGAGCTCATGTTACCCCGCGGTAACTTTTGTGTATCCGCTGACCTGAACAGGTGTCGTGTTTGTTTGTGAGAACTTGGTCAAGAAAGGTTTGAGCACTTCTACTCTCAGATCCTGAACAGTTCTTGGTCAATACCATTTACCCTGAAGCTTTTCGACGGTCGGACCCTTGTGATTCGTGATCACTATTACCCATTGGATGACTTGTACTGTTATGTGAACAACTGGTACGACCTACCGCGGGCTGAAGTTGTCAAGAATTTCACCTTCCTCGAAGAAGTCTCGGACAAGTGGTGCAAGCACTTGGAAAAGATTGTGCCCAATTTCTTTGGAATTTCCTTCAATGACCTGAAGAACGAGTCCTTGGTGGATGAGTCATTTTTGGAGAATTTGGAGAAGGATGGTGCCACTTCAGGGGATGTACCTGAGTGGGTGGTAAATGGCATGTACCTACATGCGGCAGGGAAATGCCTTTTGCGAGGACAGGGCCCATCGAGAGATCGTGCAGAGATTAGGTGACGGCTTTGAGAGAGGTTTTTAACTCACAAGACTTGTAGATCTATAATTCAGAGATCATCAGCAAACACTTCGGTGCCTGCGGCGGTCTTGTCCACCCAGGAGGGAACAAAGGAGCATTGTGTGACATCGCCAATTGCGCAGAACGTGCATGCTTCGGTGAGGACAGGAGCACACTCCTGTACACAACGCGTGGTGAGTGCACAAAGGTAGCATTCAAACAATAAGTAAAGCAATGTTTTTGGGCAAGGGCACATTGGACCATGGTCGCGCT